CCTGTGTCAGACCACATGAGCTGAATTATGGCTCTGTGTGCCATTAAGGAAGAAGCTAAGCTGCTGAGGGGAGCTGACAGTGTCAGTGTCAACAAAGGAAAGAGCCCAGAAGTGAGACCAAACTGACAGAAGATGATGAAAAAATATCTGTGGTTGTCAACTGTGAGAAAATAGAGAGAAATATATGTAGTGAGACATCCTGTAAAACGTTCAGGGAAGCAGAACCAGTCTCCTTCAGCCCTGCAAACTACATGCTCATCCCTAATAGACCACCTGGGCAAGTCCTTTCTCCAAGCCTTTTCTCACAGAGGGAAAGAGAAGAAAAATGAAGGGGTTAGACAGAAAAGTGAAAAACGGTAAAACACCACTTAGAACAACGCTGTGGTGTGAAACAGGGGTAGGACTGGAAACAGCAGCTGAAGTGAGTATACATAGGAGGAGATGAGAAAACGAATTTAGCGGCAACAGAGAAATATGGAGGAGGTTGTGATCAGGTCTGCGAATGCATATCATAGAGCTGAACGCACACAAAGTTAGAATAAATAAAAGTGCTTGATGCTGAGCAGTACAGATAGGAAGTAATCCATCAGTAAGGACTATCAGAAAAAAATTGGCATGAATTTCATGCTACTACATGAAATTGAACCAAAGCATACAAGCAATGCATGGCAAGAAATCAAAGCAATGGTGAAGCCTTTTTATGGATTTGTGCAGCTTCTTTTAATCCACAATAAATTAAGTTTATCCTGTTGAAATTGGCCCCAGCATCTCAAACAGTTAAGCTCTTGAAATCTGCATCTGAGTACAAGGATAAATTTTTCCCTCATTACTTCTCTTACTTTGATATGAACTGTAGAGTGTGTTTGGTCTGATTTCCTTCAAATAACACCAAAAATGCCACAGTTGTAAATTATTGTGCAAAATGTGCACAAGTTTTAGCCATATGGTCAAAACCAAAAGCAAAATGGTACTCTTCATGAACTAGCACTGAAATGTTCGCCCATGTGTATGTTAAAGAAGTAAATTAGTGAATGCTGCTTTGCAAAAAATACTCACATTATTTATTTAATTTTAATCCTTTACTATGGGAGGAATATTTCAGGTTTTCAAAACCAGATAGATAGGTAGGTAGATAGTTATACAAACATATAAATAATTTTTGCAAGAAAGGAAAAAATATCAGTAAGGTCTGAGAGCTATTTATCTACCTAAATGTAGATCTCCCAGTGGTAATTCATTTAAATTGAAATCATCTTAGTGCACTTTGTGTTTTCCAGCATACTTGACATGAAAAAATGTATTAGAAAGTACATCAGTACACCCACATCAGTAGGTGTTAATTTTGCACTTCTCAATCCAGACATTGATTATTAGATATAGCGGGAGCCTTTATGTTGACAGTTAAATGCTGAATTCCCAGAAAAGTTGACATGTTAATACTTATATGCAAAAGGTCTCATTGCTCAAGGGTTCACTTGTTTCCGCAGTGATTTCCATTGCATATGCTCAATCTCCAGTGAACTAAAACAGGATTGTCACCTGAGAATTTCAATCTGTAAAGTAACGTGCTGACTGCTACTGAACAAATCTTGTCTCTTTGTTTATAACGGGGTAATCCACAATGCCATTTCTGTACACTGCTTAAAAAACGAAGCCATCATGTATCAGAAAAAAACATTTGTGGTTGGAGCAATTTTTGGTTATAAAAAATATACATATATGGGAGACAGCTTTCTATGGGGGCTTGTGAAGTTCTGCTTCAGATTAAACGTATATTAACTGATTTAATATTCTAACCCTAACCGAGTTTTTTATCTGGAAAAACTTTTAAATAGGCACAGTCATATCAGATAAGAATTGAAGTGCTTCTCTGTAATATGTTTATTGGCTTTGAATGAAGCACAACTGATGGTTTGGTCACAGAAATCTGCCAGAGGGCAGCTTGCTCACAAAGAAAAGAAACAACCAGTGACTTTTCAAGGTAACAGTGAACCTAAGGGTGCACTTACACTTCAGCTTAAGCTGATTGAGGTGATTAGTTTTTAGCCAGCAACGTGTAACCACAGACAGCAGGAGCACTAAAAGAGCAGTCCTGCTGCAGGGGCTGCAGGGGGAGAAGGGCTGGGTGGGACGGCAGCAGCCCCAGCTCACACAGGTTTAAGATGCCATGAAGCTAGATCCTGACAAGAACAATGCAGGTGGTTTTCTAAATCTGTGAAATTCTTCCGCAGATCGAGAATGCTCAGCATTTTGTATTTGTTTCTATGTTTGATTGCTTTACTTGGCCTCTTTTTCCCTCCAGTTGCACTAGCATGAGCTTGCAGTGAGCAGAAGCTGTTTTTATGCTGCAGCCTCCAGACAGGTACATGCTAGCTTTAATATTTCACCTGGAATTAGACCATTAATACATCCATGACTGCTTTAAACCCAGGAATGAGAAGCCGTAGCCATCCTTCTGCGAGCTTTGCAAAAAGCTAGGTGACAGGTCAGGTGTAGTAACCAGAATTATTTACATGATGTCCCCAGCTCGAATTTTATCTATTTTTATCATAATGCAGCTAGATTTACAGAAGTGATCAGTATGAAAGCAAATGTGCTTGCAGATAATGACAGCTGTTAAGACTCAACCTCTTCATGGGTTGTAGGCACCTCACTGCAAGTGAAATGGACATTTCCATAAAAGCTTATTCTACCTCAGTAAACAAAACCAGCCTCAAATCAATCAGAGAAAAAGTTGTTTTGGTCCAAATCAGTCTCTGTTTATCTGCAAGACACCAGACATACCTTCACAGTGGGAGGAATTCAATTTAATCACTGGGGCAAAGACAACGTGCCTGGTCCATGAAGGAAAACCGTGTATTAAGACATGGCAGGTGTTATGCAGAGTCATTATGGTAAAAATAGGTAATTTCAGTCCGAAGTTTTTCTCACTAATAATCTAGTTATGGTTTTACAGCAAAGTGATCTATGAAGGAGGCACTGCAGTTAAGGATGTCTTTTTGCTATTAAAAATAATCCATTTGCTTTGATAGAGCAATCAAATGTTCAGCATTAAAGGTACATTGCAGATATGTTTCTTCCAATTTTCCTGCAAATAGCCTTGCAGAGGGTTCAGCTTCCTAGTGAGCTCTCAGCTGAAGCAAGGAAAACTAACTAGCAGCTCGGTGTACAGCAGCCCTAACACACTGGGTGAAATCCAGGCAATCTCACATGCCCAGAATTCAGCACCTTTATGGGAGGAATCTGTTTCCAACTGTTTCACCACATTTATCATGATTTGGAATGACTCCACCACCTGGTTCAGAAGAGATCCTGAACCCAACAGCATTAGTCTTAATGCCAGTTATTATGCTGTCTAGTAAAATGGACTGGGCACAAGGAGGAGTTCGATTTTTCCATGAGCCTTCATAATTATGTGGTGCACCATGTAACCACGCAGGGTGAGACACAGTAGCCACAGTGCCCTCGCTTTATTAAAGCATCAATTATCAAACCAGCAATGTACTCGTGGAAATGAGGTTGTTCAGGAAATACCGATACTCACAAAAGGCAGAGACTTGGCCTTCAGCCTGGTGCTTGAGCTGACCCCAGGCGAGCAGGTGGCTTGCAATGGCCACACACTCCACCATATGTTATTCTGCAGCACTGAACATTGTATTAGCATCTGCAGTCTCTACGTTCATAGATCTTTTAATTAGTGCAGTGGGAAAATGAACAAAAAAAGCAACCAAATCGGTAAATGAAATAGTGGAAGCTTCTGTGACAACTGCGTATAAATCCACTGCATTTTAGCCTGGCATTTGTTCTCTTCTGATAGCTGAAATATTTAGTCCAGAAAAATTCCACTCAGATAAAAGCAGCCATCTCTTCACAAAGGATAACAAGCAAAGCACCCTGAGACAGACAAAAATAGACTGTGTTGCAATCTCTGCAACTCACTTGTTCTCTGACCTTTCCGCAGACAAGTTGCAACCCAAATCCTCCATCAGCCATTAGCTGGGGAGTGGGACCAGTCTCCTCCGTTGCTGTTTCCCAGTCCACCTCCACCACTTACTGAGCTTTCTCAGTAGGAGCAGTTCAAAGCTGTGGCAAGCACGCACTGCAGACATCATCCTCCATACCAGTTGTCTTTCAGGGTGACGGACTGCCCCACCTCTAACTGGGAACATACAATATTCCTGCAGATCCTGATGCAGCAAGCATCAGGCGAGTGAGGTCATTCTTCTAGCATCTTGGAAAACTTGGAAACTTTGCTTGGTTGGTACTCTCACTTGCATGGAAAAAGACAAAAATCTCACCTTAAGTATGAAGAATTTCCTTAATACGTGACTGAAATATTGAATTGACAAACCAAAATCATTATAAGTAATTATGGTTCAGCTACTGTATTATGTGAAGTCTGATATATTGGTGTATTACTGTGTTACAAAGAATTAATGAGCTTGTATTTCTCTTGGCACATCAGTCTTATTAACGTTTCTGGCCTGGTAACTAAATTGTGGCAATGTGTCGTACTCTCCTACTATGTCATTTTCCTTTTGCGCTAACGGTCAATTAGAGTGTTAGGACATTGACAACCTCTAACTGTTTTCCACTCTGCCAGTGTTGACTACAGCCTCGGAACAATAACACTCAGACCTGGAGAATTTTCTGGCTGATATGGCGTGACATGAAGTGTATGCTTTTATTTGCATGAGTGCATAGGTATAATAAAGTTCCATCCTTAATGGACTTGTGCAAATACGTTTCAGAGGGTGCAAAATTACTTTCAAAATCAAGTTTAGTTCCACATTGGTGCTGGATCTCAGAAAAGAGTATGCTTGTAGAAACTTCTTCTGCCAAATGCAGTAGCCCATAGTAGCATAGCAGCAGTGGGCAAATCCACTGAGTGCCATGATGACACGGTCATCAGAGATGGCTGAACAAAACTGTCTTATTGTCGTAATCATCCTTTTTTCTTGTCTTCTTTTCCCTGCCTTCCTCTCAATTTGTTTTCCCAGGTGCGGCTAGAGTGGCCAACAGACCTCACAGTGAACCCCCTAGACAACTCTCTGTACGTCCTGGACAACAACATCGTCCTGCAGATCTCTGAGAACAGGCGTGTGCGCATCATTGCAGGGCGCCCCATTCACTGCCAGGTGCCAGGCATCGACCACTTTATCATCAGCAAGGTGGCCATCCATTCCACCCTGGAGTCAGCCAGAGCCATCGCTGTATCTCACAGTGGGATCCTCTACATTGCAGAGACAGATGAAAGAAAGATCAATCGTATACAACAGGTCACAACCAACGGTGAGATCTCCATAATCGCTGGAACCCCATCAGATTGTGACTGCAAGATTGATCCTAATTGTGACTGTTTTTCAGGTAAGACAACACATTTTGTTTTTCTGTCCCTCGTCTGTTGAGACCTCCTGGCACAGCTGCAGACCAGCAAAGTGATAGAAGGAAGGAGAACTGAGCAATAGTTCAGTTTTCTTGGAAAACTGAAAACCTTATCAGCAGCTCTGTTTAACCCATTGGGTGCAGAGATGTGAGTCTTTCAGTTGTCACTGGAACCTCTGGGTGGCTTTAGATTTTCCTGTTTGAATATAGAGATTACAAACAATTCGAAATGATCTCCAAGAATGTTTTTTTGTGTCAGCTTTACTCATGCTGAAGACAGTATCAGCCCCAGTGCAGATTGCACCTAAATGCTACTGGATCAGGCAACCTTCTTCACCACGGAGAGTACCAGAATGTTCCACATCCAGTGAAAAGCACTAGCTCACACCTTGCCATTGTTTGTGTCCCATGGCACACCTAGCTAAATGATGCAAACACATGTTATTCAAAATTTCTGCTTCCTTGTGCTTTTCAAACTGGGCCCACCAGTGCCAGACCCACACCACACACCCTGGGCATTCTCAGCAGCACAGCTCTCCCCTCAATGCAACAAAACTAATTTTGATTTTTTTTTTCATACAAACCTATTTAATGATGGAACAAAGGAGAGTGTTCCCATCTACAGAGGAATGCGGTATGTTGTCATCTTGTCATCTCCAAGAACCACTTTGTTCATTTTCGTAATACCATCATAATTCTTAAGCCTTCTGTTTCAAGCAAAAGGTTAATTACTGACAAGAAAACATTAAGTATGTCAAGAAATGAGAGAAAAAAAATGTCAATGGTCTTCCACGGGAGGCGAGTTCCTGACCCAGAGTTGCTAATCAAAGTCTCATGAGCTTTGCCACGTGCTGCCAGCTTCAGTTACGGCTCTGTTGGACCGGCGCTGAATAGGATCCTGTCCATTGTTCTTATTGAGGGACTCTCTCCTCAGTGCAAAAAATAAAACCTTTGGCAAATCTAATGATTGTGCCAGTGCTGGGTTGGTGAAAGGCAGGGTCAGGCTGGCAGAAAGACCAGCTAATTTGTCTGTTTCCAAGGCAGCAAAGGGTATGCTGAAAATTTCCATCAAATTGCATTTTTCAGTCAGGAGAAGGGGAGCAATAGAAACAGTAACACATTGTTCCCTAAGAGTGAGGCTTAATATGCTTTCTTGTTAGTTACACAAAATCCTGGCCATGAGAAGTCATTTAGATATGCATATACAGCCCACGATCATGCAAATATCCTCCCTGAACCTTGAAATACACAGTATTTATGTATACCAAGTAAATTATCAAGTAATATCAGAAGGGGTGATTTTGAGTACCCTTTTTGGCTATTATAATTTATTTTCCTGTAGTGTGAGCTTTTAATAAGTACAAACTAATCTTTGGTTCACTGTCATTTTAACTGAATTACTGATGTTTATTTTCTGTTTTATTTATATCACAATTCTACTCAGACTACATACCAACAGACAAGAAATAGGAAACAAAACTTACCTGTCATAATTTTTTTTCCTTCACGTTTTGCCACACAATACTTCCCTGAGCAACAGGGTTTTGGAGTTAGCAGAAATGATGTAAATTAGATAATTTATAGTTTGTTTGTCTTTATTGAGATTGATCTAGAATTGCACCAACTTTAGATAATGGGGGTTTAGTTAATGGGAAGAAGATACTATTTTATTGACAAGCAAATGATCCTGAGGAGAAGCAGTGTGGCAGGCTTCGAGGTTCAGCTTAAATACAGATACTACAGATTACTAAAACTGCCATTTTTTCCCACAGGTGATGGTGGATATGCCAAAGATGCAAAGCTGAAAGCACCTTCTTCCCTAGCAGTCTCTCCTGATGACACGCTGTATGTAGCAGACCTTGGAAATGTTCGCATCCGTGCAGTCAGCCGGAACAAGGCTCACCTCAGTGACACAAACATGTACGAGATTGCCTCACCAGCAGATCAAGAACTGTATCAGTTCACCATCAATGGCACCCACCTGCACACACTGAACCTCATCACGAGGGACTATATTTACAATTTCACCTATAGCAGTGAAGGGGATATCGGCACGATCACCAGCAGTAATGGGAATTCAGTGCACATCCGCAGAGACACAAGCGGCTTGCCCCTGTGGGTTGTGGTGCCGGGCGGCCAGGTGTACTGGCTGACAATAAGCAGCAATGGGGTTCTGAAAAGGGTTTATGCCCAAGGCTACAACCTGGCTCTGATGACATATCCCGGAAACACAGGACTTCTAGCAACCAAAAGCGATGAAAATGGATGGACAACTGTGTATGAGTAAGTCCATGACATTAAGTGCCTGGTGTAAGGAACACTGTTTTAAACATACATTGAAATTTTTTGAGTCAGTTCTAGTAATTTCAGAAGACACCCTGCTACTAACACTGCATGAGAAAGGACAAGCAGTGCTGTTGTACAAGCTTTTACAATATGAAACACTATCATTTCTTAAGTGCTTGTCATATGTAAAAGCTCTGTGCATAGTGCCCATTATATGCAGCAAAAAAATGCCTGAAATTATACTTCATTCATAATTCATTACTGTGAATCTCTGTTTCTCTACATGCAAATGTGGTTTTGGAATTTTTGGTATGTAAAGAAGTAGAGGTAAGTTGTGATATGAATCACAGATTTGCAAAATTCTTGAAGAAGGCAAAAAAAAAGGAAAATTACTATATTATAGGAAAAGGGAGTGTTACAAAAGAAATTTAGAATCTCAGTGGAAGGAATGTTCAAACACAGGAGTGGACTTGTCCTGTCCGCAGGGAAACAGGATATATAAGGAAAAAAAAAAAAAAAAAAAGGTATGTAATAGCAAAAGAATATGTATCAGGAGTGGCCTTACAAGCAAGATGTTGAGACATTTGACAGGGCTCCTTAAGAGCAAGACAAGACAGTAAAGATACAGTAAGAACTTCCCAGACTGGTCCCAGAGAGAGCGCAACCCAAGAGAAAATTCATGTTTGATTCATAAAGAGGTGTGAAGTATCAGGATTTCTCATTATTTATAATTAATCATCATAATCCCTCTTAGAGGAAGTGATAAGTGATTGATGGAAGTCATATGTTAACATTGCACTATCAGTTCACAGTTCAAGGAGAATTATGCCTGCTTTCTGTAGGGCATGGGAGTTTATGATTAAAAACAAAAGTGAAAAGACGTCCAGGTGAGATATGAACAGAACACACATTGAGGAGAATTAAGTTACTGCATAAGTCACCTGGAGAGGCAATTGAGTCACCATCATTACAGTTTTTTTAGAATTACATTTTATTAAAATGGTAGGATAGCAAGCAGGATAAAAGTAGAGAAAACTGCTGCCTAGAGTGTGGGATTTGTTATTCAAGGGAATGTTTTTCTATTCTGCCTTCCATTATTCTGCCAAAACCAGGCTGAATTGACAGAGTTGATCTAAGTATAAGCAATTAGGGCCATTTTTTACAATAAGCAGGAAAACAAAACCATACAGAGCCTTACCGGTTCCGTTCTCATGATCAGGCACCTACTGATAGAAGTTAAAAGTATTGTGCAAAAATACAAAGCTCACGGTTGTGCTGGTGCTGTTTAAACATTGACTGAAGAGTGGTACCTATTATATGCAGAACAAATATGTGCTTCCTTGGAATAACTTCAGCACCAGGACTGATCCATTTAAATCTGTATCTGAGGATGGGATCAATCCCAACCATGGACGCTTTCAAAAGCTTTCACAGTAGCTCCAAGCCACATCCATTACTTCTTAAAATGCTGAACAACATGCATCGTTGCAGGGCCTTGATTGTTTGAGCATGTTAGAGCAGATTATGTGCAGTCATGTGCTTCTCAGTGGGCTTAATATCAGTACTCTTACTCTGTCCAACAGACCCTGAGTGTAAATCTTTTCAGACAATTATTGATCATTCCTGTTGTCTTCTGGCAAGCAGTTTGTTAAAGTAGGACTCATGCTTAGTGAGATTTTCTTTTAAAGTATTTTGCCTGTTTGCAAGTGCCTGCCATTGTAAGTAATACTGATTTTTTCATGCAAAGATACTTGGAAAGACACTGTCCTTTCAGTTGTACCAACTGCGTGACGGTGTACTTCTACCAATCTAGATCAGTCGGTAGAATTAACAGAATTACAGCTGTTAACATTACAAAAATAACAGCAAGATTAAATAGTGAGGTCATTTTTTAGTGAAGTAATATTTATATTACTAGTGAAGTAATATTTATTACTTAGATTATTGTATTATTACTTATATTATTATATTATATTATATATTATTATATATATTATATATAATATATTATTAGTATTAATAGTGAAGTAATATTTATAATAGTGAAGTAATATTTATTGTTCAGGCCAATATTTCACGTCATCTTCATAATATATTACAACTTTCTGAGTGGCTGAGATACCAGTGTCACCCAAGCTGCTGCAGTCAGAGGGACAATTGACTATAACAAATGCTGTGCTGAATAGATGGGTTTTCAGGACTTGGTTTTTCCTTTTTGCTATTATTAGGTCATAGGGGATGATGGTCTTTAGTCATCCTTTAAGCAAACATAACTTTCCAGTAATGTAATTTAAAAATTGGTAAGGGTAACTTAGATATGAATTGCTTCAAGTCATGTATAAACACAGTATTGAAGTCAAGAGATGAACAACTCTCCAATTGCTTAGAATCACCTTTTCTGTTTAAACTAGTTTTGCATTCACATCCAAAATTCAACCCATAGTACTGTCAAGCTGAAATAGGGATAAGTTTATTTAACAACACATATCACACATACTTGGGAATATGAGCAAAGATAATGAACTATTCAGAACATCTACCTAGATGTCAGATTCACTCATAGAGGGAGATTATTAAGAGGCAGAAAACTACCTACAAAAGTACTCGTCATCCATCTACTCTAATCTGATGGAATGGAAGTACTGAAACACCTCTTGCATAAAATTATAGCTAATGTACAATTTCAGTCATCTAAGTTGTTTGTTTTTTTTGTTTGTTTGTTTTGTTTGTTTGTTTTTTTAATATTATATCATTAAAGCCATAAAAGGGGGGGGGGGGGGGCACTGGGCCTCTATTAAATCAAGAACAAGAAAACACCTGTGAGAAACAACCCTCTCTGAAAAAATTAAATAGACCGCTTTCCCTTTGAAATGATACAAATCTTAATTGTGCTACACATCGAAATGCAAATAGATTGTGAAGCTCTATCCCCAAGCGTGCATTTCTAATATTGGTGAGCACTTCCTCATGTGAGTACTGAAATCAATGCAATTATTTGCATGATTAAATGGTCACCGGCATGATTAACAGTGGCATAACTGGGCACCAAATTAACTTTAAGAAATATGTCGTGATTCTGCCCCTATTAGTATGGGTAGGACATTCCCCTACAAGAACAGAGTCCAAGTGTGCTACTATCCATCACGTGAAAGATGGCAGAATCTGTCCTCAGAGAGCTGGTTTCTTAGAGCAATCTGGAACAAAAAAGCCCTTTAGATGGTCACACTATTACTGAGACACTGAGCGTTCTCCTTGAAGTTAGTGGGACCATCTTGGCATGTGCTCTGCAGCCTCATTTTAATTGTTCAGCACCTTATCTAGTCTATGATTCTGTATTTGTGGGTGCTCCTGTGCAGAGCCAGGAGTTGGACTCGACTGTTGGTCCATTCCAACTCAGGATATCATATGATTTTTATGATTCCCATTTTCAGCTACATGGAGAGTTGTGTATCTCATCACTAGCAGCATCCAGCAGCAAAAGCAGATTCTTAGCAGAGGTGCATCCAGACTCTTAAGCACAACTACATTCCAATAAACTGTCTGCATTTACGCCTTAAAAATGCATGATTTGAGGATTTTTCTATGGTATGGTAGAAAACTCACATAACTTAGCAAGCTGTCATATCTGTTTCATCAAGCAGTAAATGAAATGTAATTGCCCAACATTCATGGAGTTTTCTAATGATGAAAACTAGTGCTCTGAATCAGTTTTAATCACTGGGCGTGGCACCCAGTCAGTTGGCGCAGAATGGCAAGAGGGAGGAATGTGAGGAAATCGCGTGATATATGAGGGCAGGAAGAGATGAAGGAGAGAGAGATCATATTGTATTTAACATTTAATGAATTTATTTGTCAAAAAAAAAAAAAAAAAAGATGTTCACTATAGGTTCATTCTCCACTGTTTCATTTGAAAGGAACAGCTGCTCTATTTTTCTTTTTTATATCATGTGGAAAAGAAAATTCCTGATTTTGTTCACCAATACTTTTTGTGATATACAAATTTTGTATGAGTAATTAGGGGTAAACAAGGGTCCTAAAGAAAGGATGCCAGCACATGAAAGTGAAAGACATGGCCAGCTCATCTGCTGATGTGAATTGGAAGAGCTCCTCATTGGAGGCAATGGGGCTTTACCAGTTGATACACCAGCTGAGAAATGCTTTGTGAGTGAGGGGAGACAGTTAATAAAACATGAAAACTTAATTATGCTTTCCTACCTGCACGAGTAGGCTTATGTTTTATGAACATGGGTTGGTTTTACTCATGCAAATATGTCTGCCGTATCAGTGAGCTCTTTTGGATGAGTAAAGATGTGTTTGGATCAATAAGATTTTGAAGATGGGAGGCATTAATATGGAACAGTATCAAGCACCAAACATTGTTCTGTATCATTTTCTTTGTGAACCATCAGAAAGAACGAACTGTTTATCTATGGAACTGAAGAGACACATTAGAAACAGTGCTCCAGAGGTTTTGAATTACTTACTGACTTTTTCATAACGTGTTGACAGTATCCCCCCCACCTTTTTTTTTTTTAATAGCATCTACAAGACAACAGTAATGTATTTTCGTGGCTCACTTTAACATCATGTGTTGCAGGTATGACTCCGATGGCCACCTGACCAATGCGACATTCCCAACTGGGGAAGTCAGCAGCTTCCACAGTGATGTTGAAAAACTGACAAGAGTGGAACTTGATACTTCAAACCGAGAGAACGTGATCACGGCCACAAACTTCTCAGCTACCTCTACAATATATACTTTAAAACAAGGTAATTGAGGCGTTTATGTTATTTCTTCCTTTAGAATTATATTTAAAATTCTGAACATTGCATTCTTAATTTTTTGACAAAAAGACAATAAAATTAGTTCATTTGTTTCTTCCTTGCTTCAGTTCAGATACCTAGATAATACTTACATTTCTCATGGTGTTCCTTTTAGGAGCAAACCACCAGTGAATGCTTTTCCTCCTAGAAAAGTCCCATTGGTAGATTCCAGTTACTAAAATCTCTGAAGGATGCATGCTTTACATTCTATTTCCCACATTGGTATTCAGGGGAATTGGACCAACCCATAATACACTGAGCTTTGTTATCCTGAGAAATACTGACCAAAAAGTGCCCTGCTCCACTCTTGTTTTAGTACTGAAATGCTTTGTTTGGCCAATGCCATGAATTCACAGAATCACAGAATGGTTTTGGTTGGCAGGGACCTTAAAGCCCATCCAGCTCCAACCCCCTGCCATGGGCAGGGACACTTCCCACCAGCTCAGGCTGCCCAGAGCCCCATCCAGCCTGGCCTTGAACACCTCCAGGAATGGGGCATCCACAGCTTCCATGGGCAGCCTGTTCAGTGCCTCACTACCCTCTGAGTACTTTCCTCCAAACATCTAATCTAAATCTCCCCTCTTTCAGTACAATGCCATGCATCAGTCTCTCACTTGGATTCCTGGATCCTATGCTGCCTGCTAAACTCCTCTTGCAGCAAGGGAACTTGGCTCGAAAAATTTGTCCAGCTGGGCACACTGTCACCCATGACACCCACCTCTGTCTTCAGGCCCTAGAGGAACTTCCAGATTCTGGAGTTCCCTGCAACTGAGGGTCTGGGCAGCTCTTTCAGTCCTCGGGAGGTCTGTCTGGGTGTAGGTGCCTGCGTGGGGAGGTTGTTGCCCCTCTGTCCGGGTTTCAGCCTCAGCCAGGCAGTTGCAGCAGGTGGACACCATTCTTGTTTCAGCAGACGGCTGCTTCTTGTTGTTCCCAACGTAGAAGAAAGTGGCCTGCCTTCCTCCTTCACTGTGCATGCTCTCCAATTCTTTCTGGTAATGCTGTGACCTGGTGGCAGTGCTCGTTGGAAGGAAGAAGGCATGACCCATGTCTGCTGGTGGCTGCCTTGGCACTGAGATTTTAACTCAACCCCTGTGCACATGTCATTTTAACTCAACCCCTGGCAGCTTCAGTCTGCTGGTGTACTGGATCTTTTGAGAAGAACTTGCTCTCTGCCTAATGGAAGTGCCACAATGTCTTCCTTCAGATTGTGCAGATTCATCCCCTAAGTTTTGAGTTTACATAGTTTAATCGATCTGTTTTTTCCTCTATGTTAATTTTTCTGTAGCAAGTGTGTTGTTCAGCAAGAAGGGGAGAAGCTTTGGGAGCTGGTGCTGGGAAATAGGTCTGCATTTCTTGCAGGCCTGCTACAGAGAAGGTCTGCTTTGTAACTCGGAGCAATTCACAGATGTTTATCATTCTCAGCTTTAGTTCTATGAGGAAAAAATAGGAAGAACTCACAAGATACTCACTCATCCCTTTTCACTACTGCATTGCAGAGACAACACTGAATAAATGGAAAGAATTATGTTATATTATATTGCAGTATCACTTGTTAGTATTTGTCCAAGTGATCCCACCTGCTCTCTGCATCATCTGCTGACTGCCCAATTGTGTTTGTCTTAAATGCAAAGCTTCTCAAAGAAGGAATATTACTGTTTTGTGTCTCAGAACAGTGAGTTAGCACACTACCAGCAGCACCAGAAATGAACAGCTATAGTTGTTATTATACATATCCTATTTATGAATTTATATAGTTTACATATTTCCATATCTCTGTAAAACTACTGTGAAGCAAACTGTGAACAAACAACAGACATTTTATCCTTACCTCTGAGTCAAAAAGTCTCTTTTAATGCAATATCCATTATCTTCACTTTCTGACATACCCAACTGTTGTCCATATATTCGCGCCTGAAGGTCTGGCCCAATTACTTCAGCTGGTGTGCAACAGCTAAGAAAAAGATACTTTTCCTTAGCATCACTAAAAAAAAAAAGTAACTAGCTGGTAGGTGTTCAGTTATATTTTAAAGGCTTTGTGCCTTAACCCTAAGCATGCAGATTCATAAAGTGCCCCCTGGCAGCTGAGCCACAATAGCCTCCTGTGTGCACGTCCCTTTCCTGTGCCAAATGCAAGGCAGTGTGGCAGAGCTGTGCCTGCAGTGAAGGCATTACAGTGCACAGCCAAGAGGCAGGAAGCGTATGGTGGCAGTGTGGCTTTGCATCATTTCACTGGAGACCTGCTGTGGACCCTCAGTGTGATTCTGGCAGTGTTTGGAGGAGGAATAAGCTGTTGTCCCAGCTGCCCTCTGCAGCACAGTGCTGAGCCTCTGGAGCTGCCTGCTATGCCACCCTTGCTGGGCCATTCAATTTTCTGCCACCAACTGGCTCTCTCCTAGTGCATCTCTCACACCATCCCATGGGCTCATGGCTGGCTGGCACTGAGCCTCTGCCTCAGGGTCCTGCTGCTAATGGGGAATGGGCGAAAATTTCAGTACAGGGATATTGGGAAAAGTGGCAGAACAGCAGACTGGCCATCATCTTAAGACATTTTGAAAACAGTTTTCCTGATTGATCTCAGAAACCCCTTACATTCATTCAAGCAGTGAGCTATTCTGTTAACAGATCCTAACATGTTCAAATCATCAAAATATCTGTGATCAAAACTCAGCCCATGAGTTTATGTACTGTTAGGCTAAAAGCAAAAACTCTTCATTCCTCCTGCAGGGAACTTTCACAATGTAAATCATCAGGACAAATGTAATAAAAAGCTTTTAAGACGTATGAAGACCTCCAGGTTTCAAAAATCACACTGCTGTTGCTGTTTGGTCAGTGATCTGTATACTAGGGGCAAACAAGGCTTGACATTGCACCTGATGTTTGCTTCATAAAGCTGGAGATCTGAAAATTTCTGTTCCCTGTTTTGGGTTGTTGTTTTTTGACAGATAACACGCAGAATATCTACCGGGTCAGCCTAGATGGGTCTCTGAGAGTCACCTTTGCCAGCGGAATGGAAATCACACTTAACACGGAGCCTCATATCCTAGCAGGAGTCATCAGCCCCACTCTGGGGAAGTGCAATATCTCCCTTCCTGGAGAGCATAACTCAAACCTCATTGAATGGAGGCAAAGGAGGGAGCAGACCAAAGGCAATATCTCCACGTTTGAGAGAAGGCTAAGGGTAAGGCTTCCTCTTGTGTAAAGTGCAGCATTCCCTTTGAAAGCCATTGAACTAAAATTGGGTTGAAATGTTCTACTTTGTAAGAAGTGCGATGGAAAGTTTGTATCAATGGTGGGTCCCAGCCATGAATTTCAAAACCAAACTCCACCAACACTCGACAGGATGTTTGATCTCTGTTTGATTTTAGTTGTTAGACTTGACCTCAAGACATAATTACTTTTTTTCTTCCTCTTCTTTTTCAACTAAGAACTTAATTATGTCTTTGGAAGAAGCTGTGAGCAAAGGACAATGCATAGTTACTGCAGCACAGCAGCAGACTTGGAGCCAGATTCTGCCTCTCAGATCTAACTACCCTCTTTGTGCTGCGGTGAATAACAGGTGCCAGCCTCTGCCCAGTGCAGAGAGGATCTCTTGGGGCACACCTTGGGTGGTTGGGCCACGGCATCTCCTGCAAGCTATGGTATTTCAGAGCCTCCACATGTATCCAGACAGGCTGTGGATTCTGCCCTTCACCGCACATGTTCAGACACCCTCACTCCCTCTAGCTGGGTTACTGCATGGCTCTAATAAGTATGATTTTAACAGTGCATATGTGGTTTATATTTATTTTCAGGAGAACTCACAGATTACAATGACAGATGGTCAACATTCAGCATTTAATTAGGTAACACTAAGGCTTAAAGAGACTGCTACCTTGCAGAACAGGTTTATTTATGAAATCCGTTCTGTTTTTCACATGAATACTCCATAAAATGTCTGTACCAGTAGTACAGATGCGAATTTTGGCCTTTAAAATATTGCATTATTAACTACAGCAGGTCTGGATAAGTATTATCTCTGAAGGTACATCTGTTAGCTCTGAAAATACAGAGATAGTTATTTAAATCTTTGGATTTCTTTTTGGTTATCATATCTCATGTATTTTTTATTTTAAAAGTGTGTCAGTTTGGTTTTCAACTGTGCTTATCAATCAGAAACCCAAGGCTTGGATGATATGGCCAGACTGATTACCATGTGTAAAGAAACCATTTGAAAGGACATCTTTCAGACTTGGCAGTCACAATTACTTTACGAGGATCTTGCAAGTGCGAAAAAGCTCTATGTGTTTTTTCTTTCCTATCCTCTGACTGCCTCCTTTCTGTCCTAGTTCACACACATTTAGCCCTGTCCAGAGAGGTTGCTGAACTTATTACAATAGCAAAGATGTGTTGTTAAAATGGCAGCATTCAAGCTGTGACCTCCGTGGTTCACTTTACCTAATCAATTGACTTCTGTATGATTTTATGCTTAAGTAACTGTACGGTGCATACTTTTTAAGGGTCTTGCAGAATAAAAGTCTTAAATGGAAAGGTCATAGTCAGTCATCTATTCTGCTTACCTTGCCAGGGCCAAGTTGTTCATCACAGTTACATTTTAAAGTACTTCATCCTGCAGTTTTCCTGTTATGCAGTTTATATTTTCTGTTGTTGAAATTGATTGCCAGATCTTTTAACTCATTTTCACTTGCTTCTGCACAATGCTTAGTATTACCTGCCAAAAAAAAATAGGGAGGAAATTCACAAGTTAGTCAGGATTAGATGGATTCTGGCTGAAGGCATAAAATGTTCAGTGAAATATTACAAACCTGAAGCTATGCAAAACTCTGCTGATTGACCTGCCTCTGGGTCAGTCTGCTGATGCATAAAAGCCCTCATGTAGTCCTCCTCCTCCCCCTTCACTTTCCATCCAGCAAGGGTATGCAGTGTAGGAATGACTTTGGTGTGTCTTTGTCCTATATTCTCTGTCCTTTCAAAGGTGTCTGCTAGATCACAGGAGTTGATCATTGCATCGTTATTTCTGTAAATTATAAGTTTCTTTTGGTACCTACCAGAAAGAAACCAACCTTCATACCTACCACGATCAAAGGAGCTTTATGGAGTGTTCTTGCCTACCCAGAAGGATGTCAGCTTGCCAACATTACAGTGTTTTCCAACCCCCTGGAACAAAGGATGGAGGGAACCTGGTGGGACAACATTATGTGAGGATTTTGTAGTGGAAAGGAGAAATATTCTGTGCATGGGATACACCATGCAAATAAGCACAAGAGAAAGGGACAAATGGATTTGCTGCTGTTGCCAATAAAAAGGACCTTGGATGATAGGTGAGATATGTGTGTCCCGGAGTTCAGCTTTAGGAAGATGAGATGTTTGCATGGGATGCTGATGCTGATGGAGTGGGGAGCAGGTGAAGGTGTAAGGAGCTGGAGCAGTCTAGCTGGGAAGGAAAATAAAGGAGCAGCAGGATGTACCTAGAGACACCGTCTTTCCTTGGTGACTTGGTTATTAGAAGAAATATGCAGGACATCAGGAGCAAAAATACCATCTTATACTCTGTTTGAATGAGTAAGCCAATAATGAAAGGGATTTAATGCTTGCTGTTGACGAATCCTTGAGTACTGCTGGGAAAAAAAATGTAGCATCAATAGCAGCCCTTATCCTGGATAAGGTTCTAGTGATACCTTCTGAAAACTTATAGCGAGTTATATTTTAGAAATAAAATTGTTAAGCACTTAATATGCCATGATTGGCCCAATAGGACGTGTGTTAGAAAGCTTGCAATGTAGGACAAAAAGAACTATGCTGAACTTTGAAAATGTATGTAAAGGAAAGCTCTGGGGATTGGACCAGTTCTCAGTGGAAATGAGCAGACTTTTAGGAGCCCTCGGTTAAAGGAAGAAAAAAAGAAGGAAAAAAAAAAAAAAAAAAAAAAAAAAAAAAGCACAATGGAAGAGTTTTCTGGGGAAAAAAGATAGAAATCTAGTTTAAAGATGTCACTTAAAGATCAGTCCTGATACCATCACTGAAACAAATGGCTTTGAATGCTAAGAGGTATAAATTAGAAGGCAGGTAACTGGGGATGAGATGAAGGATGACCTAGTTGAAAAGACAAAAGCTTTTCTTTCTCTGCCAGTTCCTAACATTTTTAATTCTTAATTGCAATTAACAACCATTTTAAAGTCATGTCACTGTATTAGTATAAAATGCATACAATTTTTGGATATAGGCCACTGTTAGCATGTTCTGAATAATGCTGTAAACATTGTGTTTTAAAGAGTGGAACTTTTGCATGGTGTGAATTCCCTACTCTTTAAATAGAACAGAAATGAGTAAGTTAACGGAAATGCTAGAAGAGACATCTAACTTTATCTCAGTATCTAAATCAATGCAGGAAACAGGAATTAATCAGAGTTTTCCTTTAAGTGCAGAACTGCCAGCCCTGGCGCTTCCGGAAAGTATATAAAACAGTCTGTAGGCATGTATGCAGTTTATATTAATAATAAATCTATGTACAATCAGGCATTTTAACATCAATCTTAATCTAACAAGATTTCTTTTTTATCAATTGAACTGCTATTTTAATTGACTTCTAAAAATGAAGCAAAGCTGTTGTTAAAATCAATGAGCATGATGCATAGTAATATACTGATTGGAATTCAGCTCTGCTCCCTCCTGTCTTTTGCATAACTTAGAGGAACTTGGTGTTGGATGCTATCCAGGTTTTATAACTGAGTATCCACAAAATTGAAAACTTGAATGCTTGGCCAGTCTTACTTGTTTTTACCTTTTTTTTTTTTTTAAATAACAAAAATGGAAGCAACTCATTGGCCTCAATTCAAGTCAGAAGTCCTGTAGATATAGGCTTTGACAGCTTTGTTTATTATCATATTTAGCAAATTATCTCCTTTTATTTACCAGCCTTGTAGCAAGTTCTAATGATAGGGTCAAATCCTCAGCCACTGTGTATCAGTTTACATTGACTCAAGTCAAAACACAGACAGGGAAATATACAATCAGCTCATCTGATTTCACATTTTAGACAGTTTACATTTGAGAATGAAAGTCAAGCGAAGTGCACAGTGTTTATTTACATCTGCAAAATTTCTGGCCATAAAAGCAATGGAAGTAGAGCCAAAGAGTGTTTAAAATAAATAATAGATATATATTTTTATGAACTACTAAAACTATTATTGAAGTCAGCTGAATTTTCTCCCTATTTTTGTCAGCTGAAATTTTGAACCAATATTGCTTTCAGAACCAGTTTTTACTGGCTTGTAACTGAGCACATGAGCTCCAGTCTCTCACAGGGGCTCCTTACTGACTTGCATGTACATTGGAGGAGCCATCTCTAAGAAGCCACTGGGATTTGAAATCAGCATTTCAATGACAGCATTGAAATGCAGACTGCTACCCATGTGTCATTGCATCTTGTCTTAAGAAGGGTGTTAAATTGAACTTAAATCTAATATAAGAAAGTAAACAAATGAGACAAAATACGGAATATAAAGGAAGTAGTGATGTCCCCAAAAACCTTATTTTAACTGTGTGAGCCTTTAAATGCTGCTGCTATCCTCTTTGCTGCTAATTCTGCCTCTGTGTGATTTTCATTCATATTCGTTATCTCATTCCTGAAAATTAGATTGCAAGCAATTTGTATTCAAGACTTTCTTTTCTCCTAGCTGCATACTATGGCAATAATAATAATAGCAATAAGAACATTAAATATGTACATAGACAGTAAATGAATATGAGGCAGGGTATATCTTCTGCTTGCTTCTGAGTTATTTTACCACCAAGAGGACTGATTTTTTTTTTGTTTTGTTTTGTTTTTTCAGAAATTGCAATAAGTTTGCAAAGAAATATATTATCATAAACTAATCCATCAGACTGTATACAAGCAAATACAGTTGAGCTGAACATCACATTTTACTTGGGCTCGTTACCTATCATTAGAGCATAAATTGTAATAGTTACAGCAGTCTACAGGGGTATGTAGGTATTTTACAGCTATTGTAAATGAACAGTATTAGAGTTAGACATGTATGTATATAAAACCGCAGGAGTAGTAGTTGAAGAAAGAACACCTGCTTCTTCTAGATTTTCAGATTATTTTGTATCTAAAAACAGAAAGAGGAAAGAAAAAAAAATGTTCTTTCTAATCACAACCACCATATGATCACAGCTTGAATTATTAAACAGGTATTCTTAACCATTTACTTTACTGCTATGCCTCCAGGTCTCAGGAAGGAGCAAGCACTGTGTTATACAGCGCTAACACCTGAACTAACATCATTTCTGCTGTAAGGAATGTATTAATTGGAATAGACTAATACAAGTGATTAGATAAAACTCAGTCCATTAATACAATGAGCACATTGGGCATTGATCTGAAAAAGACAAGTCAGTGAACAATGTTTTATGGTTTTCTAAATTATAGCTTGGATTTAAATGGAGTTTAAGAGTGACTGCCCAGTGACTGAATGATGAAAGCACTGGGTAAGCATATTTTGTCTTCAGAAATATGGCTCAGCTTTGAGCTTCGTTTCTAATCGAAAATTTTGGACCACAAGCACTAGCAGGTCGAAGCAGTCAACCTGTTCCCTTGCCGAAGGACATGATGAGGTTAGCAAATACTGCAGGTCCCAAATATGATCCGAGACCTGCAGCAAGGAGTACGGCTGGCAGCAGGCACTTCTGCCACTGCCTTTCACAAGCTCTGGGAGTAGGCTGCTTTTGGGAAGAAGTGTGAGGACACTGGTGAGTAGGGTTTTTGGGAGCTCCAAGCACAGCTCTTCCCTCCTCGGCATCAGTATGCGACCTAGCATGGGCTAGCCCACAGCAGCAGCTGACCTATTGATATTAATGGAGCCTAGGAGAGAGAAGGTGAGTTAGGATTAATTTTGTTAATTTTGGGGTTTAACTACACATCTTTGACTGGAATCAAACAGTCTGTCTATAGATCACTTTTGAGAAAAAAGAATAAAATCTTAGGAAAAGAAGAGTGGCGATGAAAGTTTGGTGTGTGAATATAGAAAACATCCAGCTATATGATGCAACACTGAACGCAAACAACATTTTGTTTCTTGGTCCTCCTGTTTCTCATCTGAATGATCTTCTATTTTTCTGCCTTTAGTATGTCCTAAATTCTCAATCCTACTGTTAAGCCATTGCATATTTTATTAGAGCTGACACAGAAATGTTTCTGTCATATGTAATTAAGGTACATTGTCTTCTTACCTTCCTGTATCTTGTGTTTAGGCCCACAATAGAAATCTGCTCTCCATTGATTTCGATCATGTAACCAGAACAGGAAAGATTTATGATGATCATCGAAAATTCACTCTTAGGATTATGTATGACCAGACAGGCCGCCCAGTTTTGTGGTCGCCCATCAGCAAATACAATGAGGTCAATATCACTTACTCACACTCTGGATTAGTGACCTACATCCAAAGAGGAACCTGGACTGAGAAAATGGAGTATGATCCAAGTGGGAACATAATTTCCAGAACATGGGCAGATGGCAAAATATGGAGTTACACGTATTTAGAAAAGGTAAGTCATTTTAGAAGTGGATTATTTTACCAAGGCAAGAATATTTGTTCTTTATGCAGATACTAAGAGAGACTATATTGTGAGTTATGTTATGATGCTCTCTCGTGCAATAGTATATAAGATTTATAGAAAATGCATACAATTACAATAACCAGAGAAAAATGTGTCTGGAGGTGCTTAGACCTACAGTCATCACTTCAAACCTGTCATAATTTAATTCTGAAGTTATTAGCAGCTCAGATCTGTTCAATCGGTAGGTAAGAAGACTTCTTTGTCCCACTCCAAGTGCAAGTGAACAAAGGACACTCCCAACTACTGAAAAATGTTTTGCCATTCTGTAGTAAATAAAAGTAGTCAAAGAAATAAGTCATCAAAACGGAACTGTTTCATCCCCCAAAACACACTTCTTTTAAGCCAAAATTATGCACCAGTGAGTGCAAGCTAGCACTTGTTCGGTGCTGTGCTGTAAGAAATGGACTAATCCTTCGAGGAGACAAATTACTTTAGTATTTATGATGCCCATTTGGGGGAAAACCCATAAACTAATATGAAATGAGTTATTGCCCTGCTTTTATAGTGACTTCATGTCTAAATTACTTGAGTGTTAAAATTTTCAGTTATGTGTGTGGTCATGAAATGACAGAATAAATGCTGTACAGTCTCAGAAACAGCATCTCATTTGTCTGTACAAGCATCTCATTTGTTATTTTGTCTCTCAAATCCAAAAAGCCAATCTGTATTTTTAAAGCTTCCAGAACTAAGCGTGAAATTATATTCAAATAGTATCTTTCAAAACTTTTTTTCTTAAATAGAAATATCTGTGACTACCCATTATACCCTGAGTTTGAAGAACATTTTTCTGAACCTGTTAACCACAGGGAAAGGATAGGAGGGGGTAGGTGAGGTAAAACTGATAGAGGGTGAGGAATCACACACAAGGAATCCAGTGACTTTGAAGTTAGTTCGATATATAAAAGTTCCAAATGTGTACTTTTAAGATAAACTTTGCTATACTTATTTTGAATGTATTTAAGCCTGATCCTCAAAAAAAAAAAAAAAAAAAAAAAAAAAAAAAACTTAAATCTAACCCAGAGAAAAAAAAGTGATGCATAAAAATATGATTCCTTCCTTGTCTGCATGCAGTATGGTTCTTGCATTTGTTAACAAGATTGGCAAACCCTGGAAGCTTCAGAAGTTTGGTTCAGATAAATTTGTCAGGGCTCCTTTTGTCTGTATGCTCTTCTTCAAATTGCAAGTAAACAGGCGTTTAGCACAGCTTTCAAATATTTGGCAACGTGCCTTTTGGAATCTTTTATTTTTTCTTCGGGCCTAATGGACCGTAATTTTGGAAAGATGTATGCTTTTTATCTTTCCAACCACTTTGCTTGCTCATAGTTTGTGATGAGCTTATAAATAAAGTCATATGATTTAAACCTGTCATTCTGGAATTCTGCACAAGTGGACAAATCCTGATCTTGTAGGAGCAAATGACAAAAGCCTACTGGCTCAGGTAGTGGCAGGCTTGACTTATACTGTAACTTGTCACTAAATTATTGAAAGCCATACACACTATAGACATAATCTCCCAGCTATTTAATGTGCTTTCCTCACAATTTGTTACTTGTGCCAAAGAAAGATGAATTCACTGTCAAAATTAGACATTGAGATATCATCTTGTAGCCCATTAAAGTCAATAGCTCGTTGTGTTAATTATGTAATGTTGTCTGAAACCTCATAAGACCCAATAATTCCTTTTATCAAAAAATCAATTATATAGTTCACTTCCAACTCCTAGTTATTTACTTTTCCATTTATTACCACTTGATGAGTTAATTGTCTGTCTTCTAAAAGCTCTCCTCCTTCCAGGGTTAGTCCCAGTAAGTTTTCAAGAGCCCTGTAACGGTAGTACTGGAATTAATTCTCACTGATGACATTGGGCTTCTCTTGATTTGGTCGCTCTCCTCAATTAGCTGATGGCGTTATAAAACCTGAATACTTCCAGTTTACATCCCAAATCCCGCTGTCTACCTCCAGACAAACTCGCTGAGCAGCTGTGTGCGTGTGTTGGACAGAAATGACATCTAGTGGCCGTGCCCAGCAGTTGCGTGTTCCCAGGAGAGCCCCCAGTTCTTGCCACTGGCTTTGGTTTCGTCGCATCAGTCATTACGTGGCTGATCAGGCTTTGGCTGCTCTTATAACATGGATGTTTTACCAGCTCCCCTCTGAAATCCTCTAAAATTATTAGGATCCAATTTGTGCAGATAGTGCAAAAATCTATTGTAATATTATCAGGATGAATAGGGAATTAATTTTGTTTTCTCTTTATAGTGTCCCTAATAGGCTAGATAGGACAGTAAGTCTCCAACCCTTCTACTGTCTAGCCTTTTACTATCCTGGACAAAAGTGGAAAAGCCACAAACTGCTGTAAAATGGCACACAGGGGCACTAAAATTATATTGGAGATGTTTCTGATCTTGTTATTCATACTCTGTCAATGGCAGACAGTTTAAAAATAGACCCGGGAGCAGTATATATAGAGCAGCATCACATCAGTGCTAGGAGAGAGTTCAGCCCATGGTTTACTGCAGGATGGGGACTGTTGACTGAAGGTGAAGCTAAAATAAACTCTATGTGTGTTAGAAGTGCTTGGCAGACCAGCAGTAAAGCGATCAGAAAAAAGCTTGGTGTCTAGGTCTGTTGGCACACATTGGGATGTGTTGGGGCTCCTGGGCTGGCAAGCAGGTGATGGGTGCCCATCAGCAAGGGCAGGAGGGCACACACCTTACAGGTCGGGGGGCAAGAGAGTCTGGTCTGGGCTTAGCTGTCTTCTCTCCTCTGAATGAGCACTCTGGTTATTTGTCAGAGCACGGTGCCTTACCAACAAAGTTGCTAAACACATCACAGGGCTGAGGCTTTTTTTTTAAAAGCCTTTTTCCTGATTTCTTTTCCCAATACTCTATGAAAAAGCACAATCACACATTCCTTGTAAAACTTTGTTTTGCATGGTGTCTCAGTTTAGAAAAGACCAACAAGTTTGCTTACAGGGCCATGAGCTCAGAACTGCTCAGGATCTACTCTCCATTTGAGATCAGGCACTGGAGCAAGGATGCACAGTGCTCTGAAACATCCAGGCCAGTCACCAGGGCTGCAGGAAGGCTACAAAGCTCTCCCATACATTTTCACTCTGTGCTTTCATTCTACTTGTTTCAACAGTGACTGTTCACCAGCAGGGTTGTATGCTGCATGCTGTGACCTTGCATGGGACTGGTGGAGATGTTTACAGAACCCAAACAGAAACATTTGCAAAGAAAAATGCTTGCTTGCCATGCTTGCGTACTCATCTGCCAAAAAAAAAAAAAAAAAAGGACAGAAAAACATATTTCATTGACTGGCCACAATTAACCAACCTGGGGCAAAATATCTAGTACCTGTGTAGAAATTTTATTCTTTTTAAACATTAAAAAACATAGAGAGAACCTTCTCTAAGCACAGGGATACTGGGGCCTCTGGGGTGGTCTTTCATAGAAGACATACAGAAGAAGGGGTAGGTCTGTGCTAGAGCTATGCAGAATACCAGTAAAAGCTAAACACCACATACACACCACTGTATGGTTTGCCTTTCCACCTCCTGTAGAAACATCTGTTGGTACAGATGCTCTACCTGTGATTGAAGAAGTGGTTCCCTCTGTTTTAGCTTCCTGGGAGGATGACCTAAATATTTCAAAGCAACATGGCAAGTCAGCATGAGGCTGAAATGCCACTGAGAGCCACATCTGCCTTCCAGTTTGGGGGTCCTTACCTCTAGCCTTATTATCATTCTCCTTCTGCTTTATGCCACCTTGCCTTGCTGGCCAGGTCTGCTGAAGCTGAAAGCTTTACCCGCAGTTACACAGACAGTAAGAGCAACCTACAAGAGTGGGTGGTTGTTTCAGCATTTCCTTAATCTTCAGGCACTCACCAGATGAATGAATAATAATTTGCTTGATCAACCACTTACATTGTCCTTCCTGTTTGATTGCAGTCCGTGATGCTCCTGTTGCACAGCCAGCGCCGCTACATCTTCGAGTACGACCAGTCAGACTACCTGCTTTCGGTCACCATGCCCAGCATGGTGCGCCATGCCTTGCAGACCATGCTGTCTGTTGGGTACTACCGCAACATCTACACCCCACCGGACAGCACTGCAGCTTTCATCCAGGACATCACCAGAGATGGACGGCTCCTGCAAACATTGTATCCCGGGACAGGTCGCAGGGTCCTTTACAAGTACACGAAGCAATCCCGGCTTTCCGAGATCCTTTACGATACTACTCAGGTCACATTTACCTATGAGGAGTCTTCTGGGGTTATTAAAACCATACACTTAATGCATGATGGGTTCATCTGTACCATCAGATACAGGCAAACAGGTTTGTGTAACTATAACTACTTTGCTAAAGTTTTTGGTTCTGATCCCGCACTTACCTGGCATGAAATTCCATTATTTTTATGTCTTCTTATTTTTTATGTTTCAACAGAAAAAAATGTGTATATATGTCTATGTCTGTGTCCACGGGCATATATAGCTGTCCCATTTGAAATACAGTTTTCTTTTTACTGCTTGGTTTGGAATAGCGCTTACAATGTTTGATTGTTTTTATTCCACTGTGTGGATATTTGCTAAATACTAAATCAAGTTGGTTTATTGTTTGTGTTTGTAAGTTTCCCTGTTTATACCAAAATGTAACATAAATTCAAAAGGACTATTTATATGAGGAAGAAAATCACCATGTAAAATAAATTCAGTTTAGAATTATCTTGTAAGTAAAAAGGAATCATAATTATGAATAAAATAACATTCATTTAAACAAATGTTAATAACATACAAATATTTTGTAGAGCAAACATTAATAAAGGTTTGTGAGAGAATAATCAAACATACCCTTAGTTAATATACTGTCTGAGATAGTCAAGTAGCAATGAGGCAAGGGTATATTTGAGTTCATAGCTTTTCTGTGCTAGTTCTGTGAAGTGTACTATGGACATAATTCATTTCTTTTCTTGCTTTTCCTCTTTCCTCTGTTTCTTGTGGACAGGTCCACTTATCAGTCGCCAGATCTTCAGGTTTAGTGAAGAAGGGCTTGTAAATGCCAGATTTGACTACAGCTACAACAATTTCCGTGTCACAAGTATGCAGGCCATGATAAATGAGACACCTCTGCCCATTGATCTGTACCGTTACGTTGATGTCTCTGGCAGGACAGAACAATTTGGCAAATTCAGTGTGATTAATTATGATTTAAACCAAGTTATAACCACCACTGTGATGAAGCATACCAAAATTTTTAGTGCCAACGGTCAGGTGATCGAAGTACAGTATGAAATTCTAAAGTCTATTGCCTACTGGATGACCATTCAGTATGATAATATGGGTCGTATGGTGATCTGTGATACACGCGTAGGTGTGGATGCCAATATAACTAGGTATTTTTACGAGTATGATGCTGATGGTCAACTTCAGACTGTGTCTGTGAATGATAAAACCCAGTGGCGCTACAGCTATGACCTTAACGGCAACATCAATTTGCTGAGCCATGGAAACAGCGCACGCCTCACTCCTCTGAGATACGATCTTAGAGATCGCATTACCAGACTTGGAGAAATTCAATATAAAATGGATGAAGATGGTTTTCTCAGGCAAAGAGGCAATGAGATCTTTGAGTACAACTCTAATGGTCTGTTGAACAAAGCATACAACAAAGTGTCTGGCTGGACTGTGCAATACTGCTATGATGGTCTTGGAAGACGAGTTGCAAGTAAATCAAGCCTGGGACAACACCTACAGTTCTTTTATGCTGATCTCTCCAACCCAATAAGAGTTACTCACTTGTACAATCATACTAGCTCAGAAATAACATCCCTATATTATGATCTTCAAGGTCATCTCATTGCAATGGAATTAAGCAGTGGGGAAGAATATTATGTTGCTTGTGATAACACTGGAACACCACTAGCAGTGTTTAGCAGTCGGGGACAAGTTATAAAAGAAATTTTGTACACGCCATATGGAGAGATCTACCAGGACACTAATCCAGATTTCCAGGTTGTCATTGGTTTTCATGGAGGGCTCTATGATTCTCTCACTAAATTGGTTCATCTGGGCCAGCGGGACTATGATGTCATTGCTGGTCGGTGGACAACTCCAAACCATCACATATGGAAACACCTGAATGCTGTCCCACAACCATTTAATCTCTACTCATTTGAAAATAACTACCCAGTTGGCAGGATCCAAGATGTCGCTAAGTATACAACAGGTAAAAGTAACACATTGCTTACGAAAATACAGGTTTTGGTCAGATTCTGGTATGGATTTAATACTCCAGAAATCCTTTATATACATTCAAAGTTAGTATTTGGCTCTAGTCTTAGATATATTAAAGTTATTTCTTTGGTAGCTAACAACTTACAGAGCTTCGTCTGTTTTTATAGTCTTCTGGTAATCAGTAAAATAATTAATAGCTTCATCTGCTTCTTCTCTAAATGCTAAAAATAGGGGAAGAATGGAGGCAGCATAATTCTAATTTTTTTCCATTATAAGTAGGAAGCGGGTACACAATCGATTAGAGTATTGCTATGCTTTGTAATCAGATAATTTGTTTTCTAAAATAAATGCTATAACCAGTACTAAAAACAAAAATTGATGTGAAATCATTATTTCTGAATAGCTTGAATTTCTGTAAACTACACGCACTTTTTCTAGGATTTACATGTCTCATTGCCTTAATATTTATTTATTTACTTACTTACTTATTTATTTTGTAGACATTGGAAGTTGGCTAGAGCTGTTTGGTTTCCAGTTGCACAATGTACTACCTGGGTTCCCAAAACCGGAGATAGAAGCTTTGGAGACAACATATGAACTTCTACAGCTTCAAACAAAAACCCAAGAGTGGGATCCTGGAAAGGTTAGCATAAACTCTGTTCAACTGCTTCTATTTCTGAAGTAAGCAATTTGATTAGAAAATGCTGATTAACAAGGAAACAATGTAACTGTTTTTTCAACGTGATAGACAAGGCAAATAATAGTCTAACTATGCATTATTTACTGGCATCAGATTCGAGTTTTAAAGAGAAACTTCTAGGAACACAATGAAGAAACTTCAAAGCAAAGTGATAAAATGTTTGTGCACAAATTGAACTGCAAAATTTTATGGAATTAAAGAATTAAAACACCAAGTTTTTGTCTTTGATAGCAAAGAAGCCATAGAGAGCAAAGAAGCCAAAATCACCAAGAGTAGAAACAGCTTTACAAGTCTGTTTCTCTGCATAGCCTTTGCAGGAAAACAGAAACCTTGTTGTGGATTTGAGTTTGTAAAACTCAAACCCCAGAGCTTGTTTTCACTAAGAAGAGACATGCAGCAGCTTACAGGGTCTAGCAATCAATGTGACTGCAACAGGACCAACTATGGATGTTCTGAGCAGGTGTTCATGTTTTGCATTTAACCATAAGAGGTATTATTTTACAAAGAAGAGAGAGAAAAGATGCCTTCCTCTAATGTAGTCAGGAAAAGGAAGCATAAATAGTTGTGAGTTCACATCAGCAGCGTATAGTGCACTTCTTTTCCCATTCAGAGATGACTACACAGTGTGCAGAGCGCTGGAGAGTCAGAGCTGGTTCCAGATTTAGGAGCATGTCCAGGTGAAATTATCACTGAGATATTAAAGGAGCTATTACAAAGGCACAGGAAGATTATTGTGATAGGTATACTGTAAAAAGACAAATAGACAGTTGGAGGGAGATTTTTTTAGCCACAATGGAGAGGAAGATCTACAGATCTGATGAACTTCCCTTGTTCCTATTGTTCTAGTGTCCTGAGACCTTCACAGCTTGATTTCCTTAAAGAATTGGCTATAAAACTGTTTCTGCTGTTTTACAGAAGACATAATGAGACCTAGTGATTTGCCTAGAATCATGTGAGAGAGTACAGTTTTGAATCAGGTTTCCCCTTGCCTATAAGTTGAAAGTCCAGCCATTAGAGTGACAATTCAAGAAGGGGAGGAAGAAAAAAGGAAGGATAAGAGTGAGAACAGCATTTGTGATAAACATGTTTTCCACTTGTTTTCTAGAAACTAAAGAGTCCAAGAGACAGAAAGTGATAGGTGATTAGAAAGCCTGTGCAAATACCCAGGCTCTGTAGATGCACAAGATGTTTTGTGAAAGAACTGGAGATCCATTTTAAGCAGCTAAGATATTGGTAGGAACTGTGACACACCATGAAGAACTACAAGATTCCTCTCCTGCAAACTTTGTATTTTCTTTTCCAGACTATCCTTGGTATTCAGTGTGAGCTACAAAAACAACTCCGAAACTTTATATCCTTGGATCAACTTCCTATGACACCCAGTTATAGTGATGGCAAGTGCTATGAGAGTGTGAAACAACCAAGGTTTGCAGCTATTCCTTCAGTGTTTGGGAAAGGCATCAAATTTGCTATCAAGGATGGTATAGTGACAGCAGACATTATCGGTGTGGCTAATGAGGACAGCCGGCGCATCGCTGCCATACTCAACAACGCTCACTATCTGGAGAACCTGCACTTCACCATAGAGGGCCGAGATACGCACTACTTTATCAAGTTGGGGTCTCTGGAGGAAGATTTGGCCCTAATTGGCAACACCGGAGGACGACGCATCCTGGAGAATGGCGTCAACGTCACAGTGTCACAGATGACTTCCGTGATCAACGGGAGGACTAGACGCTTCGCTGACATACAGCTCCAGCATGGTGCACTGTGCTTTAATGTTCGGTATGGAACAACAGTAGAAGAAGAAAAGAACCATGTCTTAGAGATAGCCAGGCAGAGAGCTGTGGCTCAGGCCTGGACTAAGGAGCAGAGACGGCTGCAGGAAGGGGAAGAAGGGATTAGGGCATGGACAGACGGAGAGAAACAGCAGCTTCTAAGCACTGGACGGGTACAAGGCTATGATGGATATTTTGTTTTGTCTGTGGAGCAGTATCTTGAACTTTCTGACAGTGCCAATAATATTCACTTTATGAGACAGAGTGAAATAGGCAGAAGGTAACAAAGAAAACCTCTGCCTTTGCGTCACCAAAGACTGCCTGTTTTTAAACGTAAAATGGTTTATTGTATTGGTTTTTCTAGATCAGAACTCTGTATATATAAATATAGAGGAAAAAAAACATATCCAACTGCCTTTAAATGTGACAGAAGATGGTATTTTAATATTGTTCGTTTAACTCTTTGAGAGATGACAGTGGAGATTTTTAGTTCTTGTGTGGCAGTATTCAAACCTTTCAGAAGCAGAGCTAATAGCTGCATGAGAGCACGAACAGCCCGGGGTGAGAGCACGCATCCAAGCAGGGCAGGTGAGAGCGCAGCGTGCTCTGCCTTCTTCTAAAGAAACACCACTTCTTTTCCGTTGCTGTTGATTTAGTAACTCACCAGTTATTTAAAAGGTTACAGAGCCCAATTCTGTAGCCTGTATTTACTGGGTAGTTTTATCCCATTGAGATCTCCCATAGGTTCAAGGGATTGCATACAAAACCCAGACTGTGTATGGAAACTTTGTCATTGCCCATCAACACTGCACATGTCATTTGTCACAGCTGTGATCTAAGGGATTTTCTAACCTGGAAAACCCAACTTTTATTAGACACAGTTTGTAAGTATTTTTATGGATACAGCTTATAGAGGCTGTACCATATGAGCTACGCCTTTGCTAGATCATGGCCACCTCTCATTCAGTCAGTGAAGAAAACCACGTTGCATCTCTGTTCACACACGGGAGCTTCTCTCCTGGTTCCCTTGGTGTGGGGTTGTGCTGGAGTCCAGCAACACAGTGGAGCTGCAGATCCTCCTGGGAGGGGTGCGGGATCACACTGCACCATTGTGGTTCAGCCAGGTACCAGAGATGGCCAAAACAGCCCTGCGAGCACGGTAGTCAACAGGGGTCTCCCCCCTGACATCAGCAGGCTCTGGATTAGGCTTTATCTCAATGCTTTTGGGACAACCTCTGTTATTCAGCTGGGAGGGTTCACGTGTATGCAATCTGTAGCCTTGCAGGATCAGTCCTGCCTGTAGAATTGGGCCAGGACTCTTCTTCTCACAGATCATTTGGAAGTTGTAGTGGTGTTGGGTTTAGGCATCATGTTATTTTCATCTCAAATTGATAATCCCGTTGTATTACTCATTTTGCGGAGTCTCAAGAAGATTGGTGGGTTGGAAGTTGATGAACCTGTGTGGATAGTACATATGTTGATAAACGTAGAACATTTTGGGGATGACTCTTCACTTTTCAGCTCAATATCTAGAGCACATAGAAAAGCATTATATTGCATGGGCAGAAATTTTTATTTCCCAAGGTATCGTGCTGCTGGCACAGTTATTTCATAGCAGAGTAGGTGATCCTTCTTTTCGCTTGTCATTTTTAAAAGACCTGATTAGCTTGGGCGGGGGGCGGGCACATGGGGGGGATAGGTAACCACATTTCCTTTACTGACTTTCCAAGGAAGCTAGAAGTCTTGTTATAGAGCCTGTGTATCCGTAACAGTGATGTTATTGCACATTTCTTGCAAAACAGACTTAGTAAATATATTGAAACAATTTCTGCTCAGATTTCCTGAAGCCAACAAAGTGCTTTCTTTGTCTCCCTTTCTTCCCTTTTTCTTTTTTTTTTTTTTTTCCTTGTTTTTGGGCAGGTGGAGCAGACTGTACCAAAGTTAGGGATGAGCCTGAACTGGAACCTGAGACCTGGATCCTCCAGGACTTGGCCTCAGGTCCCAGCCTCGTGCCTCCAGCATCTCTTCCCTGACTCCCTCTGTTCCCCAAGGGAGCCAGACCAGCTTTGGGGGTCTGGGATATGACTGGGCGAGAGCCAGACCCAAAACCACCTTCTACCCACAGCCAGGGGGGCCTGCGGACCAAAACCTGCACATACATACCTTGCTCAGGCTCATCACTAACAATTGTACAGAATTTGGAGCTGATGACATCCAGTTTTGACAGCTCTGATTGCCACAATTTTCCATAAAAATCATGGAGAATTTGAATACCTCCACACCAGCCTAAAAATGGACCTTAAAATCCTTGAGCCTCTAATATGCTTTTAATTAATGGAAGAATAATTTATTAATTGTATATAGAGTGCATTCATAAACGTGATGATGTATTTTATCACTGATCCAAGATGTCAAATATTAGAGTCTATTTTACTTATATTTTAAGCAATTATACTTTTTTGCAATTCACTAATGACGTATCATTTTCAAACTGCTTTAAATATCCATTATAAACAAATATTTGAAGCTATTAGATTTACCTTGAACTGTGCATTTCTAGTATGTAATACATATTTAGTTAGTTGTGCCTTTAGTTTCTTAAAGTTATATTTGTATTATATGCAGGAAATGCACTTTGTATTACCTACAGCTGTGTTTTTTAATACTGCCTTGATTACTGTTGTTCTCATATTATGCCAAAAGGTCAAAGAGTGAAATGTGTTTGTCTCTGAAAGTCAATTTGGCATTTTTCCAGTTCCTGGGTGGATATTTTTGAACAATATTTCTTACAAGCATATGGATGTCTAAAAAATTACATGATATTACGTGGCCCTGTTACAAAAGAAAAAAGGGCTTTCATCATAACAGTGTCAGTAATTTAGGAAGCTAAAAATAATATTGTGTTGAGATGACAGTACTAAAGAAATTGTATTGATAAATGAGCACTGGAGACTGAAGTCATAGCTCCACGTGGGCCAGCCAGCAGTGAGTCGTGAGAACTGTAACTATAGCAAACAGCTTTGGACCATCTTATTCATGAACAATCTCAGATGGAGGCAGGGAATATTTCAGTCTCCATTTTCTTTTTCTAGTAGTTAGAATAATTTCTGAGTGTTGTTGTTTTGTAGTTTCCCTTTTTTGTTGTTTTCCTTTTTTGTTTGCTTTTTTACTATTATTATTTTGCACTATAGCCTAGAGTCCCAAGTGAGAAAAAGCAAAAAAAAAAAAAAATAATGGCATGCAAATTTGTATTGTTCTTTAGATCAGATAATTTGATGCTAGCATTCTGCACTGCAAACAAGGTTCTGAAAGTGGAAAAAAATAAAATAATGAAATGAAATAAATTAAAATAAAATAACATAACAAAATAAAATAATCACTATTGCACACTATCCTGTAGCAAAGTACCTACCATGAGAAATATATGCTATATTTTTTATGACAGCCAAACCAGTAATGTGTGCAAGTAATGTTTCCTTTGTTTTCATATTTATTTAGCAAGTCTTGAACATTTCAAAGCTATAAATATATATATAGATATATATGTAGAGCATAGCCAAATAAATATATATGAACTGGTCAATGTGCAACTGGGTATACCCATTCTAGCCGTTTAGTTTGGGCTCCTCAAGGTCCTCTCAGTGGTGGCCGCTCCCTGCCCTGCAGTCCCTGCCGATTGTCTCGGGTGGTCGGTGGTGTTGGAAGCCAAGGCACAGATCCCGAGGCAAAAGCATTTAGGCAAAGGAGCTGCTATTTCAGCGGAAGGAAAATGAGATGGGCAGAGTCCTGTTGAGGCATTAGTTTGCTCTGGGGAGCTGCCCAAGGAAGTGGTGCTCGGCTCAGGCTGCCGCAGCCAGCCATAAGGGTTTCCCCAGCAAATGCTGACTGTTACTCAAACCTGTCCTTGACGCAAACCATTACCAGATCAGACGCGTCCCGACCGTAAGGAGAATCGCTTCTCAGCAGAAACAGGGAACGGTGGCGTCCGACGCATGTGGATGTGTCCAGGCATTCATCGCCTGCCATTCTTTGTCTAAGGAAACGTGTTCGACAGTTATTGGTTTTTCCTTAGATCTCGTGGTGGACTTTAGCCTTTTAATAAATGTTAGTATATCAGATTGTGTCCTTGACAATATTTTACTTGTATGAACCATGATAACACATTAAAATCTTCATACTCTTCAGGCGGAAGTGTCAATAAAAGAGAAAGAGAAGCATAGCATACAATATATGTCAAAGTAATGTTATTTTTTCGCTTTCTCATGAACAGTAAAATGTTTACAATGTATGCCAAGATCTTCAGTTTCTGTCTCACACCAGTTCTGATCTTACAGACATTGTGTTATAACAGCCTCAGCCTTGTTGCTAGGAAACAATAGGTCCCAATTTTTTAATTCCTGCTCTAACTCCTGTGCTGAATAGTGACTGGATACTGTACAGGTTTATGTTACATGGCTGCAGTTAAATGGTCTGATACATTTTGTTCTGGGTTTCAGGCCAGAAGCATGCATTTTCTACAAGAACATCCCAGCAACATGCTGTAAATATTAAAAGTTAATATATTATGTGTTGATATTTGAAAAAGAAAGTACTTTGACTATTTCATTTTTAAAAAATAAAGGTGCAAACTGATAACGTGTGACATTGTCTCTGTTGACACCGTGTCATTAAAAAATGTACAGTAAAATAAGGGCTTCAAACAGCATTGCTTGATGTAAAAGCTGCAAGGGTGTTGCCAGCAATATCTAATTATACTTCTGATTCACCAAAGTTCATGCATATAACTCTGATAGCACTACCTGCAAAATCACAGCCTGTTTCTGCATACCATACAGTTTCCTAAACTTGATCAGAGTAAATGTGAGCATCAAAAAAAATGCTGCTCAATGCCTCTGCACTCCCCACAACTGCATGGATAAAGGTGGCAGTGGTGGTAGGGGACAAGCAGCACAGCTGAAGCATCTGCATGTTCAGTAGCTCTGATTTCCTGGCCTCCTTCAAGTAGGTGGTGATGAATGTCTGTGTACGCACATAAGAAAAAATAAATAAATTAAAAATTAAATACATGCAGCCCAGAGGAGGAGAGAGTGAACTGGAGGGGCAGGAGGAGTGTCTAAGGCTAAAGAAAAAGGTACGTGGTGAAAATCAGATTGGAGCAGCTGGGCTGGGTGCTAACCCAGTGTAAGGGCAGTGTTGGATGAGGAGGAAGCAAGGCCGAAGGGCTGCTATAGTAGAAATGGGAAAAAAAAAATAATACCCTGACAATGGTATTGGTTTAGTGCTGCAGGTAGCCTGTCCCTTCCCCAGCCAGGGAGCAGGGGAGGTTCTGGTAGAGGCTGAAGCAGGGGGATCAGCAGCAGCCTGCTGGGATCAGCAGTATCACCTGTGCCAGCCCCCATTGAAGATACCAAACCAGTGGCAGAGGCAGGAGCACAAGGGCTGGACGAGGATAGGGCAGAGTAATGGGGCCGTGTCCCTGTGTCGCGGAGCCCAAAGGGGCTGGCAGGAAGGAAAAAGGTCCTTCAGATGTTTCCAGATTAAATCGTGTCCACAAAATGGGGCGCTGCTTTTTAAAGGACCTGTAGATTTTCATACTAAAGTCAATGAACGAAATCTCGGTATTTTCCATATTACTGTTCTTATAACCAAATGCCAACGCCTTGTCTCATGGGTAGCATGAACTTCTCTGACTGTTTGCACCTTGATTAAGCCTACAGCAATTCCAGGCTCCTGGGAACCCAAAAGAAACAATACAAACAAGCCACTGTCTTAATAATTCACATCAGAAACTGAAACAAAATTCTCAGCTTTAAACAAAAAATGACATCTTCTGGCCTGTTTTATGTAGTATTTTTAAAATAACAATGCACTTCTGGATTCAACCATAGTCAAGACAGTTAGCCTTAGCTCACTGCACCACAGAGCTGCTGTTGTATGGCAGGATTTGCACCACACAGCACCAACAGCCTTGGCTTGTGACATTTCTACAGGAAACAGCCCTTGGGCACAGTGCTTCCCACTGCATTTATCACCATGACAAAATCATCTGCCACTTCCAAGCACTCCTTTCTTGGTTCCTCTGTCCCAGGAGAGGCCAGCCTAAAGCAGGCTGTGTCCTGACACAGCACTTGGAAAGCAAAAGGGCTCTACCAGGAAGCCCACGGGGCACGCACTCTGTTTACACGCCAGCGGGTCAGTTTGCTCCAGGTTTGCAGGAGCACAGAACCAGAGCAGCCACAGACCATCCGCCGCAGGTGTACAGCAAGCCAGGAAACCTTCAAGGCACAGACAAGGAGTAAAACATTCAATCAGCACACCCGACAGAAAACCAGCTGGTGCTGGATGTTGCACTCAGTGCTGGTAATGTTCAGTTCAGAATCTCCATGGCTGACATCTGCTGAATTATGTAACAATATTAAAAAAATATATATATATATGTAACAAGGAGGCACAGTGCAAAACATATACACACACTGTAAAATATGATTTGAAGGGGAGGGGAGGCAGGACATTTCACTACAAATGAAATGTGGCCTTAATTTAGACAGACATTGAGTAATGAACTACAAGCATCACAAATTTGCAACAGCATTGTCCACTGCTTCCTGTTATCACAGGACTCTTTATTTATTGTATTTATTCCCATTGAGGGTTTACAAGGAGCATTTTGTCCTTCAAATGAATGTTTTATTGCTTGCACTTCTGTCTGTCTTTCATACACAGCCATTGTGTATGAACGGGGAAAATAAAAATAAATAATAATAATAAAAAAAACCTTCTCAAATCCAAACATAAATGCTGCATGGAGCAGCCAAACCTTGCTGAATGCCCATGCCAGCAGCCTGTTTAGCTCTTTGCTAATAAGTAAAAACCTTTTTACCTATTAGCACAAGGTTCCAGTCTTCTAAGCTGCACAGAAGAACTTGGAAGTATACACATTAAACATTTATCCAAAGCACCCGATGAGAGGTTATACAATGTTTACAGATGTTGTTTGGTTGTGGTTCTTTTTTTTTTTTTAATATATTTTTGTCATCCATTTGGTTGTGGTTCTTTTTTTTTTTTAATATATTTTTGTCATCCATTTGCAGTCACTGTAGTCTTGTGCTTTGGAAAGAAGTGCAAGAGAATCACACTTTTTGATAGTTAGGACCATTTGAGCTAGTTAAAGCATGACTAACAGCAACACAAACCAAGAGCATTGTAGGACATCAAGTCTGTTCACAAGTGTTTCCTACTGTCTGACAATTCAGGCAGGACACTGAGTTTAAAAGGCAAGTACTCCAATTCTGCAAGCTAACAAGTGCTGTGGCTGTAAACCTTTCCCACAGGAGCTCAGCAGCAGCAGCATACAAACACACACAATGTGGAAAGAAACAACAATATCATTCAAAAATAATTTATTTTTTAAAAATTATATGCAGTAGGTGGTTTTTTTTTCAAGTACAGAGAATATCTAAAAACCAAAGAATTATGTTCTTCACTAATTGTTCTCATCTACTCAGCACATTGCTAAAGCTTTCAAGTGTCTTCACAAACTATAAATTTTGTATATGGAGGCAGTGCTGGTTGGTTCGGGTGATTTACAGAGTGCCCGGTAAGATGGGAGAAGTGGGGATCCTCCTGGGGCCACATCTAGAATATTGTTGGCCTTGTATGAATGATAGTCACACAGACAGCAAGTCTGTGTTCAAGGCAAGGACACCTCAATATAAACCATTTTTCTAAGCCTACAGAAGGGCTGTTGCCCAGTTTTGCATAAATTTCAACCAGAACAAACCACAGAAGAGTCCAAATTCAAGTCATGTAAAACAGAGGAAATAATCTTGAGGTGAGAAAATATTTTGCACTTAGGATTACAAAGAGAAAAAAAAAAAGATATGACACCATTTAGTAGTTGATTCTTTTGTCTTCTCTCTTTAAAAAAAAAGAAAAAGAAAAAAAAAATAATTCAAAACATTCTGAAACCAAAAACTTCTAAACCTTGAGATAGAAATACTATGAAACACATTTCTGCAAATGTTACAGGAAAACTCACAGAGTTGTATTTACTATCGTATAGCTTGTTCTGTTCTAGAGCACGGACTAGAGGCAGCACTGGAAGGTACAGTCATGTCACTCTGGGAAATGGCTTCGTGCTGGCTGCAGGTAGAAGTCACGGCTGTCATTTCTCCCTAAAGAAAAATAATCACAAAAATACAGAAGGATGAACATTGCAAGAAAAAGGACAGAGCAGATGAACCATCCCTACAAGAGCCACAGTGGTGGGGACGGCAGGTAGCCACCTCCTGAGTATCACTCAAGAATACATACACCAGGAATACATATTAAAAAACAACTTTCTCATCACACTGACAGCCCCTAATAAGTCACATTTTTGGCAGTGCCCTGGTGCTGGCTCGTTTAGGCTAACGCTGCAAACAGGCCCAAGACCTCCATCCCCACCATAAAGGGCCCTGCTCAGCTGAGTCTCCCTACACCCCATGGGTACCTGGGGGACATGCAACATTTGCATGGTTGATGACGGGGTGCTGCAGGGGTGTGATGATGCCTTGGTTAGGTTTCTGGAAGGCTGAAATGAGGTTGTGCACTTTCCGAAAGAGCCGCCGGTGGACCCCAGGCGCCGTCTGTGAAGCCAAAGGCAAGAGATGAGGGGACGCCGGTGCTCAGGGTCCTGATGCAGAACGTTTGTCCTCAGAAATGCAACTACATCCAGGGACTGAGCCAGCCCTTCCCTCCGCCCCCTCCACCTGCCAGTTTAAAGCAAGTTAATGAGCTGTGGGTGCTCTCCTCCCACCCCAGTGCACAGTGGCCTCCCCACACCAGGAGAGGTTTCACGCTGTGGAGGTAGGAGGCTGGGAGAGGGATAATTTCCTAATCACCACAACAAGACAAACCCAGAGCCTGTGGTGCTTGTTAGGCACATTTCTGGACACCTGTGTTGTGAAACACAGATAAAGTTTTCCTCAACACAACCAGGAAAAGCCTAAGACCCATGTGCAGAAAGCCAATAGAGGTCATGGGAGGAGCTGTAGCAGGCTTAACACTAGACACTGCAGTGACAGGGCCACGCCGCAGCCCTGCCCAGGGAACTCCCTCAGCAGTCAGAGGACCCTGGGGGTCCCAGCACCTGTCTGGGCACCAATGCTTGTCCCAGCCCTCCTGGGCAGCACAAACCCTCAGGGTTTGCTCCCAAGGCCTTACAGGAATAAATGAGTGAAATCTTCCTCACGCCGCTTCCAATGGTGAGGCGGATCATTAGGTACTCTGCAGTAATGTGAGTTGGTTTTATTCCCTGACCTGATTTTGAGTAACACCAGAGCACTACAGCCACTTCTGTTATCACAATGGCCAAGGCATTATGCCTGTCTAGCAACTTTTTATGTTTGCATATTGGTGTTCATTAAGGTGCAAACAGAAATATAATTATAGAGTAATACGCTGACTACATACAAAGAACAAGACTTTCATAAAAGAAATAAAGCCAGCATCCAGATTCCAACAACCTCAATTGTTCTCTGTATTACAAATAGTGTCACGCTGCACCTGCACAACCAGTATGTGTGAAAACAGAATTTGTAACAAGTTTTGGCTACCATATATACCATACTGCACCTTTGATAAATTAATCTGAAGATAAATTAAGTTTAAAACACTGTGCATTGAAAACTATTTCTTTAAATATGCTGGTGTTCATGGTATGTGAGATAGAAAGGAATTGAATACTGCTTGTGCTTGTCAAATTATAAAAACACAATATTTTTGCAATTTAAAATGATGCAAAATAATGCACTAATGCATTATGCAATAGCTGAAATGTAAGAGGGAATTAATTTATGAGTTCAAAATTGTCAGAAGTGGCACCAAGACATCTTAGTGATGGGCTCATTCAAGATCATTACCTTCAATGAAAATCAGAGTTTGCAGAAACATGAATAATTTGAATATATTTCATTCAATCAATACTAATACTAAACAGGATAGAGAAGTTTTTTGGAAGAGAAAAAGAGAAGTACACACCTCAGCACTCCAGGACCCAGTTTCTGTCTTGGACACTCTGTAGGTATAAACGTAACCCTGATGCCTGTGGAAAAAAAAAAAAAAAAAAAAAAAAAAAAAAAAACAACAGATATTTATTACTCATTTCTACTGCTAGGTTTCACTCTAGTAGAGGGAATTGGTTCATCTGCTGACCTTTCTTTAACAGTAAGCTCACCCATAAACATTCTAGGCCAATAGAAAATTGAGACACAGACCAGAAACGATCTTCAGCCCACTGGTGTTTTTTGGTTTTTGTTTTTTGGATGAGGGAATTGGTCTGTCTCAGATCTATTTTAGCAATCTTCAGTTATTCCAAGTTAAGTGACAATGCTCTGATTCCTGCCTCAGTGTTTTTATTTATATTATTTTTTTCAGTGACCTCCTTTTACGGACAAACACCAGGCATACTTTGCCTGGAAAAAAGAAAATGTGTATTATTGGCACATAATCTTGCTGGTCTATGATTTATTTAAACGCAGATGTTCCCAGAAGCAATAGCATGACTGTAACTTATTTGGAAAGCTAGAACCACAAAATCCAGGTAAATTACTTTTTGCCTTATGAGTACATTCCTAATTCTCAAACACTGACAAAAGAGTTTTATAAGAGTGTGAAATCTTCTGTATTTTCAAATCTAATTTGACTCCTTCGAGAATAAGGAGTCGTACATTAACAGAATAAGGCATACCGACATCCAGCCACAGTCCTGCTTCTTTTAAAAACTCAATACAGTGAATAATTTACATGGTAGATTATTATATATCCAAAATTTAACTTGGAAGCAGAGAAAACTGATGGTAGTTCCAAAATTAGTTTAGATGCTATCAGATAAAAAAGACCATGTGTTATATTACATAGATTTACACGAATATACAGCAGGATTTTAGGGACTGTTCACTATTTCAGTATAAGTTCTTATTCTTTAGGAAAAAAAAAAAAAAAGAAAAAGAAAGAAAAAAGAAAAAAACTACATTTCTTTCCAATTATACACAGTATTGTAGTAGTTATTACAAAATAGCAGAAACCATCAATGACACAGATACCGTATGATTGTAATTACTTACACTCCATGTCATGGCTCCTGGATAAATTCTTGTTAAAAAGTCATTAAAGCAACCTCTGCAAAGCAATCTCTGGTATAATTTACCTGAGCGGGAAGCTGTTAACAGTTGTCACACTGCTATAACCCCATAAAGCAGGAGCGAAAATCCCTTCCCTGTCATGATTTGTGAGCTCTCCCCACCACCGCTCAACTCCTGGCACGATGACATTCGGAGGCATGTGACGTGCTGCCACTCCCTCCCATCGGGGCTGCTGCGGGGGCAAGCTCCCCGTACACCAACGGAGGTGCCAGCCTCCTCCAGGTGCAACCACATCACCACCTCACGCACCAATTCATCTTGCGTCCCCACAGACATGGCTTTCTGCCTGTTGCCATGTGGACCTTAAAGGTGGCTGGCTGTGCTCGCCTGTTGGGAACCGATGGAAGAAAACAGCTTCCTCTGCTTCCCCCAGCAAGCCCAGTTGCTTCAGCCCTTTGGGGACTTTTGGAGGGGCCCAAAGAGTCCTTGGTGTGAAAAACCCACTGGGGTTGCAAAATGAGGGAAGGATACAGAAGGACGGCACTGCTTGCCCATCTGTCCCATGGCACTGTAGCTACCCTGGTCAGGCCTCACCTCAAGTACTGGGTCCAGTTCTGGGCTTCCCAGTACAAAAAAGACAGGGATCTCCTGGACAGTCCAGCGGAGGGCCACAAAGATGATACGGGGCCTGGAGCATCTCCCCTATGAGGAGAGGCTGAGAGACCTGGGTCTGTTGAACCTTGAGAAAAGAAGACTGAGAGGGGGATTTTATCAATGTTTATAAATACCTTAAGTGTGGGAAACAAAAGGATATTGCCAACCTCATTTCAGTGGCTTGTGGGGACAAGACAAGGGGTAATGGCCACAAGACAGAGCGCAGGAAGTTCTGCACCAACATGGAAAATAACTTCACGGTGAGGGTGACGGAGCACTGGAACAGGCTGCCCAGGCAGGCTGTGGAGTCTCCTTCTCTGGAGATATTCAAGGCCCATCTGGACGCCTACCTGGGCAACCTGCTGTAGGGAACCTGCTTTAGCAGGGGGGTTGGACATGATGATCTCTTGAGGTCCCTTCCAACCCGTACAATTCTGGGATTTCAGTCTCCCATTTTAGACAACTTTGTACTATCATGTCCTTTCTTAAAACCTCCAGGAGCCTATGTAGTCAGTGTTTCAAGAGCAGCCCTATCTGTCTGAAAATGACAAGGGTCTTTCCTTCATCTGGGCACAGAAATCACCAGCCAAGCTGTGGTTACTGAAACTAGGATTTTACAGCCCACAGGGTGCTGGAAAATACCAGAGGCACCTTGGCATTTTGTCCCTTCTCTCTGAAGCAGCTATCTGACCAGCTCCACAATTTTTCTTTCAATCCTCAAAACAAGCAGGATCAGTTTGTAAAAAATCTAAACCTCACTCTCTTGCCTCCTGTTTTTGATAATACTCTGCATATTACCAGGCCTTGTTCTTGGTTGTCCTGAGGCCTGCCAAATGGCCTGCCAATTGGCCTGCCAATCTCTTTAAAATCTGATTTTTCCAGAAATGGCTCAGTTGTCCAGAAAGCTGCCATCTGTTGTTTCTTTCATTATTTTCTCTTCCTATGAGACTGCATAACTTGAATTGGTTGAGAGGTTGGGGTGCTGCCCTGACTCTGAAATGTCTGATGGCTTTCAGCACTCTGCCAAGTGGGTTTGGTAAGCCAGACAAACTGAAAAATAAAGGCCAGATTAAGTAATATTCAGGACAAAGATGGGTGATATGCATATAGGTATACAATAGATACCTATCGTGTATAAAAAGAGTTCCAACTATAAAATAACTCAGTTAAGCCCAGAGAACACTCAAAGGATATCTCAGATAAAAGCCCCTGAGATACAGAGAAAGGAGCAAGACTTTGGGAACATGGAAGTACTGAGCACCGCATGGAGTATGGGAGGGGTATGACATTCCTATCACAGCCTTGCAAGCACAAGTGGGAGCTCTGCACTCATCTGGCAAATCTGCATTTTTTCCCAGAAGAGGAAATAATGTGAGGCATGAAGGAGGGTTACTGAACTTAAGATGAAAAACACAATGTTATCATCTGTTGGCTCTGAAGCCATCAGCAAACAAAGCCAGAACAGAACAGAACAGTGATGTCCCAGGCCCACCACCTACCACGCCTGCTTTCTCTGAGGAAATGCACAAAGGATGCGTTTTGTAAAGAACATGAACAGCTAGATTTTCCCATTTTGCTACTTTCCATTGGTGTCTTTCTTTCCACAAAATGAGTTGCAGCTCTTCTGATAAGTACTCTCCTAACGAATGTGATCTTATCAAAACTTGCTGTTAAGCAGCAGGAACTTACTTCATTACCACTTCAAGGTGCTTTCTACCTTCCACGCATAAGCAAGCGCACAAGCGAGCATCATGATTTTGGCATACCAAGTTCTTTTCAGTGTTACATGGGCACAGCCTCCTGCAAGAAAGCTTTTTATGATTTAAATTACCCAACTTTTACTGAGATCAGTGTGGGATGAAGGCAGATCGAGCTGTTTTTCTTAAAAACAAAAATTAAACATCAAAATTAAAACTGAGGTTGTGTAGAACACTGCCTCCAAATAGCAAAATACATCAGGAAAAAGTATTTACTGGAGCTTAGACAGAAGAAAATCCCCAGCCACCATTAGGAGACAGCTCCGTTTTCTTTATTTTAGTCAATTCATGACACAAATAAAGGCTTCTAGTGTGACACAATGTTCCTGTATGTGGTGTGGGGACTAGCTATAACCAAAAGCCAGGTATTGGGTGACACCAGTCATGTGGGGCCTCTCACACAGACCTCCTTTGAGGTCATTGCCTGGTCAGATGCAGGCCAGATCCACCTCAACCTGAGTATAGTGACCTAAACTTGTCTCCTTGCTGGAGAAAATCAACAAGAGGTGGACAGATGTAATTGAGAGAAGGATTTCAGAGAGCACTCTCACAGCGACACTTGCTTCCTGGCATTTCTTGGACGATGAGCATCTCCTTACAGCCAGGAAAGATCCAGCAGAAGGCTTCCCACATCCCTTCACTCGGCCCAAGGACTGCCACAAGCCTCACTCACAATTGCAAAGCTTCTCCTATGAGCCAGTGAAGTCCAAGAGATGGGAGCAATCATGAATTAATAGCATGATGAATGGGGCCCCATAGATTCTTGGTCAAAGGCAAAAAATGCCAAAATGGTGATGAAGGCAAGAAGAAAACATCAATTGCTATGAAAGTAATATTGGATAGCACTGAGGAAACAGTGCTTTGGTCACCACTAATGACTTTTTTGACTTCATTTAACATTTTTCTTCTTTCCCCATGTGTAATACCCGCGGGGAACTCTTCTATCACTGTCCCCATTGCAATACCATAACTGGGAAAACTTTGTCAAAGGAAATTCTCAAAAAAGTTGCTGTTGCAGGAAACAGTCCATTTTGTATGATAGCTTTCTTCTTCATAGCTAGATAATTCCTCCCAAAGAGCTACAAAGGCATCATTCACAGATGACATACTGAGACAGCATCTGTCTACCTGTCCTCTCCACTCCTCCTTTTCAACTGTGATCAGACTTGTTAAAGCAGCATTTGCTTTAACAGGTGAATAATTACAATCTTCTGTACCATGGAAATAGCCAGAGGTTATTAGCTGCATGCTGCAGCTTAAAATTAACCATGACATTTCAGCTGCATGGTGTATTTTAAAATCATTTCCAAATGTTTTGTGTCTCAGTTGGGAAATTTTATTAAACTAATTTGTATTCATTTCTGGTTCCAAAATGGATCAAATATAAAGGGAGAAAGACAGAGAGACAGGGGAAAGCCATGTCAGCAATAAATGGCATCAATTTCTCCCTCTTCATATAACTTATTCTGATGTCTTTGCACTGTACTAGTCAACTCCTCTTACCTGACGCATTTGTGTCTTGGACTTACCTGAGAATTTCCCTTTATGAAATTGGTTAGGGACAAGCCAGTGGTGTAGTTTATGAACAGAGGTCCAGAGCATTACATACTGCCCAAGCTCAGCTTATAACTTTGTTATAACTTTGTCACATCTCAGCCGTTTAAGCTGAAATTTTGTGTCTGGGGTGTTTGCCTTAGCCTTCTCTAAGGTACAGAGAATAGTGAAGTGCCAGTAAAGGCAACATGGTAGGAGAAACAATGCTTCACGGAAGGAAAGATGGGGAGCTGCCTCTGTGCAAGCTGGACAGGGAAATAGCATTGAAAACTGAAGTCCTGGGAGAGTCCATCTGAGTAAGGAAGAGGGTAAAGGGAGGTGAAGCCTCAGGGGACTTTAACTAGGAGATGCATAAAAAGCCAGAGGTGAGAAGGGGTGAAGACAGGTGATTTGGAAGCAAAAGAATAAACAAGGGAACAGCCCTCAGCAATGCAATAGGCCATACAGCTGAATTCTGGGTATTATCAAAATGCTTTCCTGTCAGCTTCACACTGCGAACCCAAAGGGTACTGCAGCCCTTAGCATCCTGTGTCACATTTTCTCATGTGTGAAACAGAGTTAACAAACTCTTCATCTCACAAATTGAGATATTGTTTACACACCACATCATACTATGGAGATGAATGCTGCAAGAGAGCCCATGGGGGAATTACTACTCCTGTATTCAGAGCAGGATTTCAGTGGCACATAGCAAACAGCATGCAAGAGCCTGAGAGGGTCTGGCTATGGCTGTTTCTGCCTCACCCAAAGGATTTGGGCTGCAGATCTGCTCCTGAATTCCTGCTTGGAGGGACCAAGCCCAGGCAGGTGGTCCCTTCCCAGGGAGCAACCCTGGTGTGGGCACATGGCCGATGGGAGTAGCTGCGGAGGTGGGAGCCCATGCTCCCACCAAGCTGCACGGCTTCCCTACTGTGGTGGTGGCAGCAGCCACTGAGAAGGCAAAACAGTTGAAGCCAGACATCCACTTAAAGTGCTTTCTTTTTCCTCTTTTAATTACTATGTTTCTGCTTGGTTTATGAATCACAGAAAGACCAAAGGGTCTTGTTAGTTAATGTAGAAGAAAATTCTGTTTAAACTTGTAGCTCCTCAGTCTGTCCTGGAATTTGCATTTTCTGGTTGACAAGCGGCTTGGTTCCTGCCTTATTTAGGTTTCAGATGCACAATCAAGGTACAGAAACTTAGCAATTACCACCCATCAGCTAACCCAAGCTGAAGAAATAGCATTCGCCTTGAGATGATATGCAAGACACAAGCTCTATGTCAGCAAGAGTGAATGAAATAGCTTAAATCAGTGTTTACATGGTCCGAAAAGTCTGACAGAGTTACTAGAGCTTAACTCACAGTAGCACTCTATACACACCTACCTGAGTTTACACTTCTGATTCCCCTACCAACGCTTTTCTGGTATTTACCCATGATACTGAATCTGCTACTAGGGTGAGCTACCATGATGCTAGGGCATGATAAAGAAACGCATTCTTTTGATTTTCTGTTCTGAAGTTAACAGCCTGAACAGACATGTCAAGTGTTGTGAAATGCCTGCGAGTTTGTGTATACGCAGTTTTCTGTGGAAGATTGTCAGCATCTTCACCT